GAGCTGGTCAGCCATACTGCATGAAGGATGCCAAGAGCTTTTCCTCTTTCGTCCACAACACTTGAACCCGAGTCTCCACATTCAAATCCTTCAAATTCGAATTTGATAATTAATTGCCGATCAAACCACACAGTAGGGTAACATTTTTGTCGATTTTCGAAAATCGGTGACTTCATGTATCCAATGAAAACTTTGTCTGACAAATCGGTACTCGATGGAGCTTGTGAGATTTCGCCTGGATCTTGTTCTTTTGCGAAATCGATGCTTTTGTTTGTAATATCAAAGGAAATAGCACACCTATAAGGAATAAGTTTTCCGCAAGAAAGACCTGATCCTCTCCCTACTTTAAAGACATTGATCTCATCAATGTCATCAAAATCTTCATATGTGTAAAAGCCTTTGAGACAAGTATTTTCGGGAAGTTTAACCCTGTTGAAGTATTCCGGGTAAACTGAAAATTGATCCGGGCATAATGTACGACTTTTATTCGTGAAAATACAAAATGCAGCATCAACCCCGAAGTTCTTTTTATGTGTATCAGAGAAGAAGTTACTTCGCATGCCACGTTCATAGCGAGCCAAAGCAGAATCCTGTCTATCCTTTTCAATTTCACGGCACGCTGTTTCAGAAAGTTCTTTATACTTATCATTATTACTTGCCATTATAACAAATGATTCTTTCTGTTCATCCAAATCTTTATGCGAAGGCTGATAGATTGTGACACCATTTTTAGTACTTGATTCATCAAACTTGCATACATGCTCGCATGAAAGGATGCCTTGCCGTTTTGATTTCTTGTCAATAACAACAGCACCGATTGTTCCAGATGTTTTCCGAGGATTTGTTACTCCTATACTTGCTCCTAACTTAACTTTCTTCTGATAATTTAGGCAATAAGACCTACAACAACCATAGGGAATTGCGGCACGAGCCTCGACAACATCTACTGGATATCCACAGATCTCACTTGGAAATAAGCCACCACATCCTCGACGAAGAATGCCTTTCTGGCGAACATACAGTATGATGGCAGGTTTATCTGT